CTATATAAACTACAGACTTTATACGGGAGAATAGCTGGCGGCTATATAGACTATACGAGTACCTAGCTAGTGTCTATAGCCTCTATAGTCTTCTAGGTATGTTTAAAAAGCTTTAAAGAGCTTGCTTTGCATATAGATTTTTATATCTGTACAGAGAACAGATTCAGAGATTTCCATGACTCACTGACAATTCTGCCAATAATTCACAAAAAATATTATTATGCAGACTAGAACCTTGTGTTTTGGTATATTCGGATATTTGGCTAGCATATCAAATCCTCTAAATTTTTATTTAGATCAAACCATAAACACTCGAGTTATTACAGGGCATCAACTAGTCGGGCACTTGCGATTAATGCGCTCTAACATGCTGCTTATGCTGCTGCTGATATGCTCTGCCACAGACAGGAGCATATTAGCTATGCCATCAGATGCGAAAAATCTCAATTATAATGATATCCCTCTTCCTCCCCTATAATGATATCCCTATTTAATTCAAGCACTCTTTAAATACATTTTCGAAGATCTCCCTTACGGTCCATTGCTTTTTTATGGAGAACTTAAGTATCATATATCTAAAAGTTTTCCATATTTATGCTGATTAAATTGATTCAATCTAATGGACATTCAATATCCCTCAGTGATCCTTGAATATTCTTAAACAAAGTCAAGAAGTCTTCTTTAAACCATATATTTTATTTGCATTGAAAGGCATTTCAAATTCGTTGCATTTGGTATGTTGCTTGAGTCCATGATTATGGCTTTATGATTGAATGTGCAACACGGTGACAAGATGCCTGATGGACACCGGATTTCGTTTTGATTTCGATTTTGATTTCGAGTTTGATTTGTAGCCGCAGCAACTTTGAGGCGTTTCTACCAGCGCCCGCGCGTTAGTTACATACCCTGTTCTTGGAACAAAGGCAAAGCTGGTTTTATCAGATTGTGAAAGGGTATGATATAGTCCGCCTACCTGAGCTGAGTTATCGCAATAATGGGTATATTCTCAAACGTTTTTTTCACTTAAGCTGTTCAACTTTTCACCTGTCCACCTGCCGACGTATTTAAGCTAGAGATCTAATATATATTCTGCATAGCATATAAGATCTTATGCAGAATGAGTTCATCTTTCATTTCGATATTTCCATTAATTTCCAATAAATCGATAAATATCGATTTTGAAACAATGCTGCTTTAACATAGCTCGAAGATTTTATGAGCTCAAGTCACCAAACTTATCAAAATTTAAAAAAAAAATCCCATTCCTAAATATACAGCCTTGCGCTTTGGCCTAAGTTAAACGATCGGACTATAAGCTCCGAAGTTGTGTGTAACCGCAGGGTAATGATTAATGGGTATCTTACAGTGCCGAGCTCAGAACTCGGACTTGTTTTTTCTAGCTCGAGTTCGCATTTCAATTGTATTTAATTTTGAGCTAAAGTTTCATTTTAAGCTCAATGCAAACTTGAACACCGCCTGACCAAAAGCAAGAACCCAAGAAAATTGAGACTATCCGACACTCATTGCCAATCAGAGTCCAATAATTATCAAACTTAGGTCAGTTGTGCGTAATTAAAAGCGAGGCATTCGAAGGCCATGCCCAAAGCTCTCTGGCAAAAGCAAAAGCTAAAGCTGAAAACCGAAAGGCGCCTGTACGTCAAATTAATTATGTATTTGTATTTTGATTTAAAATGTTGCCAGCATCTAAATGCGCTTATAGAAGATTATAAATAATAAATCTAAGAGCACGAGAAAGCCCCACAATAAATGCTCCAAATACTTTTGATGGCCGCTGTCAACAGCTCAAATTGTGTGAATTGTGATTACTCGCATCACGCATCTGGCATCAATTTGATTGCAAAAGGAATTAATTTTGCAGCTGTGAAATTGCCGAGGATTACAGGACTTGAGCAAGTCCGCTTTATGGACTTCAATCAAATCAGCGAAAACTGGAAAACTTTAAGAGATATATATTAATCATGACTCGTGTCAAACTATTTTGGTTTTCACTCCTTTTTCGATATCGAAAATCACAAATATTATGTTAAAAATTAGTTAACAGACGTTTATCGTAATCTGCATATCAGATATCAAAATAAAAATGGATTGAATCGATATATGAACTATCTATCTCTTAAGCTAAACCCAATTAAGTATCTGAAGCGAATCGATACTTATCGATTTTGTACAAATCGATGATTGGAAATAAACTTGAGGTGCGTAAGCAACAGGAGAAGCTGCTTTTCAAATTTATAGTTTGAAGCGCCGAAAGTCTCTCAGACCAAATCAGATATGGCTAGATCTACCCGTCTACTGATGCTGATGAGAATACTACAGCAATCAGATCTCTAATTATGATACCCTTCATCCTCAATTTCGATGATTACAGGGTATCAATAACATGTGACCAAAATGCACTCAAGCAATTATAATGAAATTGGAAATCGATATTTATCGATAAGCCGCATTAACTACAGCATGCTGAGCTGAAAGTAAGCTCAAACCGAACTGGGTTACACAAGTTTTATTAACTAAATGGATAAGCGGATTGTTTAACGGCGACGTGCCTGGCCAATGCATTTATCGATATCAGCATTGATCACATCCAGAGCCGTAACAGCCTTCTCGGAGGCGACATGGGTGCAGGCATTGCTGTCGGTGAAGACGGCCGGAATGCGATCGTTGGTGGTCTGCTTGATGGTCTTAAGGGAGGAGCGGGCACTGACCAAGTAGACAGTGGCCTGAATATAGAACTTGGCCATGCAGGACTGCTTGAGCACGACATTCTTGTAGTTCTGGCACTTGTTGTAGGTGCGCCCCAGGGCGTAGCCGCCAAAGACCAGCTGCTGCGTGGCCTGGTTGACATCGGTGACAATCTCCGCGGAATCGTGGGCTGCTGTCAAGCCGCATTCGTGCAGCTCCTGATGTGCGGTATCCAGAATGCTATCGATCTGCGCATCCTGCTCGGCCACACACTGTGGACTCGCAGAGCGACGCACCTCCACCTGCTCGACGGCCTGGTCCAGCTGCTGTTGCGGCTCCACAACAATCTCCTCATACTGATGAACCAGCGCCTTGCCAGCGTTCTCACCGATCTGTGTCATCTCGTCCACCACGCTCAGCAGCTGTGCGTCCAGTGGCGCCGGCAGCGACACAGGCTGGGCCTGGCCAACGCTGGCCTGGCTCAGGCACAGGCACATGCACATAACACTCGCAATGATGAACTTCATGTTGATTTCCAACTTAACCACATCGCTTACCATGCCCGGTATTTATACTCAGACCAAGTAGAAAAACTCTTATCTGAGGGCGCAGACATCGTTTGTCCAGTGCTGATTGCGACTGATTAAAATCATAATCGATAATTATCGGTCATAAATCAAAAGCCTTTACGAGCGACATCATATCGTTCATTGATCAACATTTATGAAGTGAAGTAAAAAAACTAAATAAAAAACATTTGTAAAGGTCCGAAACCGAACTCTTAGCAAAACCTTTTTACAAATTTTTACAAATTGGCTCAAAATAATTATAAAAAATAAAAGTTTCAGGTCAACTCAGCGACAAGCCATAAATAGCTAGCAGCCCAGTCATTGTATTCATCTAACCATATTTGACAACTGTCAATTGTGGATTGAGATCAAATATAGCGCGCATCTTGTTCATGAAAATATTAAGTACACGAAATATTTTTAGTAGAACGGCGCGCAATAGAAAATAATTACATTTTTCATTCAAACATGCAAAATGTATTCCATACCAAACATCAAAATATTCCTATAATACTATTTTTTTCATTAAATAATAATGATGATATTCATATTCGTATAATAATAAAATTTAAATAAATAATAATAATCAAAATAATAGCAATAATATTAATAATAATCAATATATTCAAAAATAATAATAATCATAATCTGAATAATATTTAAAAATCAAAAATAAAAAAAAAATAATTATAATAATAATTATAATAAAAATAACATGAATATAATAGAAATATCTTTGAAAACATTGTGAATATTTTGGCATATAAGATCCTACTATTCCACCGATCTATCCCATAGCATCTATATGATATAATAATACGATGTTGATAGGATTTTGCTTATTTATGAATAGCATTGTGAAACTAATAAATGTCCAGTTTGGGCAAGAAATCTGGAAAACAAAAAAACGTTTTTCATACAAGAACCTCTTTTGCGACCGATCGATCCTATGGCAGCTGTTAGTTATAATCGTCCTATCTAGCCGGTTCCTACATATGTTTGTACTGCTGAGAGACTAGTTCATATAGAAACAGACAGACGGACATGGCTATATCGACTAAGTCGTGATACTGATCACGAACCTATATACACTATGAGGTCGGAGATGACTGCTTTCTAAATTTCCGGACAAAATTGTAATACCCTCTGCAAAGGTATCATAGTAAAACAATAGCAAAAATTATAATCATATATAGATAAAAAAGAATAATTATAAAAATAAAAATAATAATAAAAACCTTGTAACTGATGTTTGGCGTTTCAATATTATTTCCCTATTTGATCGCCAGTCGTATATCTTTATCAAGCCCGTCGAGTACTTTATTGGCCGTAATTGCTGCTGGAATTAGATTCCGTTTTATTACTGATTTAGGCGGTTGACTTTTAATCGATGCCATAAACACTGTCTGCATAATTGGGTTATTATTAAGCTGAGACTGGGTTCAGTTGGACGAGCCCAAAGAGGGTATCTATCCGATGGGGAAGTCTATAAAATCAAAATGAATAAATATATGTTAATAAATATAAATATAAGTAAATATATATTTAAAATATTTTGATCTTTTCATAAAAACTGCAACATCTGTTTTTGTTTTTTTTTTTTTTATTATAATTTTTATTTAAATTTGGTTTTATAATTATTCATTTTGTTCAAATACAATAAATAAACATTTAAACTATGTAGTGGTATGTATATATGCATATATAAGTACTTTATATATAGATATATATATATAAATATATGTATACATATATAGTTATATATATATGTATATATAATTCTTTTTTTTTTTGTTTTTTTTTTATTAAATATTTAAATAAGTGTATATATGTATATTGTATTTTCCTTTTGTTTTGTTGTTGTAATTTTCCTTGTTTTTTGCTCGTTTCATGTTAGTTAGTTGTTGTTGTTTTTTTTTTAGTTTTTTCTTATATTTTTTTTTTTGCAATTGCGAATTATTTGAAAGAAACATTTTCATATAAGTAAATTGCTGTTTTTGTTTTTCTTGCATTCATTAAATATCCGAGTATATATATGTATATATGTATGTATATATTAATAAAAGATGATGTTGCATAATGCTAATGTATAAACTGCTACTACAAGTATGTACACATACACATGTATATATAGCCTCTTTGTAGCCTTATATATATATACGAACCGGTATATACACATATCTCTATATGTGTGTGTGTGTGTGTGTGTGTGTGTGTAGGTGTCTGCTGGCTATTTGCCTGGGGGAGCTCAGTGTACATATGTAGAATGTATGTACCGTTATTATGCCAACAATTATCTGTAAGTGTGTGCATGTGTGTGTGTGTGTGTGTGTGTGTGTGTGTGTGTGTGTAATTGTATACATGTTTGTATATGTAGTTTCTAACCATTCTCTTGGCCTAAGATAAAACTTGTACCTTACGCATTTGCATCAAGTTTTAGTAACTTAATTTTCGGTCAGTTTTTTTTTGTTTTTCTTTTTTTGGATTTTGTTTTTTTTTTTTTTCAATATTTGTTGCATAATTTTATTGGAGTTTTTCTCTTTTTTGGTTTTATTTAGTTTATATTAGTCACAGTTTTTGTAGGCGCAATTTTGCAAAACATTCAAATGAATTCAGCGTAGTTTTCTTTTATATTTATATTTTTATTAATAAATGTTTCTTCTCGTTTTTAAGTAAGTAGTAAAAAATAAAATACAAGTAAAAGGCAATTTCGTAGTTGAAAAAATTTGTGCTTAATTTTGTAGAAATATTGTTGACTGTTTTCCTTTTGCTTTTGCTTTTTGTTTTTTTTTTTTGTTTTTTTTTTTTTTTATCCGTTTGCGTTGCTTACATTTAAAAACAACAAAAAAAAAACCGTAAAATTTTGTTAATGTTTTTTTTTTTGTTTTTTGTTTTTTTTTTTTTATGTATATTAAGTTCAATAAATTCGTTACGACACATGGACTAAGACACAGCAAAAAATATTTATGCTTAATTTAGGTTCAGTTTTTCGTTTCTTCTTTGCATTTCATTTGATTTTTCAAACTGTCAATTTCTTCATTTTCTTTTGTTTTTTTATTTTTTTTGTTGTTAATTGCATGTTTTTCACATTTGGGGCGCATTCCATGTTGCCATTTAAATGCGCGTGTAAATATTTTATTGTTCAATAATAAATAATGAAACAGCTAAAGAACTTTCGTACTTTTGTAGCAATATGTATATATATTTCCTTTGTATACATAAGTGTGGGTTTTTCTGTAATTTTTGTTGTTATTTTTATTTTAATTTTTTTTTTTTTTTCAATTTATTTCAATACATACATACATGGACGCTTCTAAGACGTCATGTGTAAAATTTCTATTGCTTGCTACGATTTACTGCCATTTAAATGTTTAGCAAGAATTGCAAATTGTGTGGCTCACGTTTGTCAATGTTTTTTCAATGTTTTGTTTTGTTTTGTTTTGTTTTTAATTTATTTATCGTTTACTAGAGCTAAACAATCAACTGTCAATTGTCACGAGTTCTCTATATCATGCTGCAATTGAATTAGGTTTTTATTATTATTTATTTTTATTTTTTTTGTTTTTTTATGCTATAATTTTGTTTTGATATGTTCGCTTCAAATGCGTTTCATGAAAATACATTTGCTTTGTATTGATTTTTATTTAATTTACTTTTGTTTTTGTTAATACAACTCCATAAATATGAGTACAGTAAATAGCACATGTAACTACATATGTATATGTATTAAATCGGGGCAAACTTTACTTTCTGCTCGGTATCATAAACATTTTTTTGTTTTTTTTTTTTTTGGTTTTTATAACGCAAAAAATTTGCTTGTAAAACGTAAATATTTGTTCTTAGTTTTTGGTATTTTTTGTTTGTTTTTAATTTTAGTTTTTTTGTTTTTTTTTTTTTTATTTTTTTATTATACTTTAGTGTGGCCAAAGCTTATTGTCGGAAGCGTTATGCATTTCATTTACTTTTTTTTTTCAAACTTTTTTTTTTCTCTTTGTTATTATGCATATGTTTTAGTATTATAATAAACTGTTTTTTGTTTACGCTCACATTAAAAAATCCCATTTAAAAACTGCATCAAATGTGTGTGAGTGTGTGTGTGTCTGTGTGTGTATTGTAAAAATATTTCGCTTTCTTCTAACACTTTGCTAAAAATAATGAAAATAGCGGGAAAAACACACACACATATATATATATATATATATATATCATATTATTCATATACATGGAATTATTGGTTTTGCATGATTTTTTGTTGTTGTTTTTTTTTTTTTTTTTTGGTGTCTTTAAAGTGTGCTCTTCAGTAAGGCTATTTAAACGTCGGGCTTACGAGCCGCATTCATATATCAATGACTTTTTTTTACTCGAAAATTATTCAATTTGTGTTCTTGCTTGGTTCTTTGCTTACTTTTTTATACACTACATTTAAGTTTTTCCTTTGTTTTTTATGCTTACATATATCAACTTTTGACTTTTATAATTGTATATAAACATTTTGGCGCAACTTGGTTTGGATTTTTTATTTTTTTATATATTTTTTTTCAACTTTTTTCTTTTTTTTTTTTGTTTGTTTGTTGGTTTTGGTTTTGTTATTTGTGTGAGCTTCTTGGTTAAGGGGAAAAAATGTTCAAAAATGTAACAAACAATTTATTGGCTTATGCAAAAATGATGTAGCATATGTCATAACCTCTGATGTATACATATGTATATAAATAAATTGTAAAATATATATGTTGTTGTATAATTAAATATTGCATTTGGTTTCGTTGAACGTCTGGACATTTTTTGTGTGTGGTTTTTTTTTTTGTTTTTTTTTTTGTTTTCTTCTTTTGCAGCTACCTAGCATATTAGTTTTAGATATTAGGTATATGTTTGTGTGTATATGATGTACGTATGTGTGTGTTAGGTGTAAAATATATAGGTATATGTATATATGTATATAAGTATATGTA